TTTACCACAGGTGGACTACAAACAAGTTGTAGAAACATCTCAAGGATGATGAATGGAAACAGGATGCACCTGAGCTCAATTTCGAGTCTCATAGCAAAGGATCTGAATACTTATGTAAATAAGGTATTTCTGTTTATTATTTTTAATTCATTTGCTAAAATTTCTAAAAAACTGTTTTCGGTTTGTCATTATGGGGTATTCTGTGTAGATTGCTGAGGATTTTTATTTATTTAATCCATTTTCAAAATAAGGCTGTAACGTAACAAAATGTGTAAAAGGTCAAGGGTTCTGAATACTTTCCGAAGGCACTGTAGGATCAGTTTTTGCCTTTTAGATAAAAAGGAATACGATAATATACAGTATCTTAGATCAGCACTCCTACTCTGAGACACTTTTTGATTGCAGGCCAAAATCTCTATGACTAATGTAGATATTGAGAACATAATTGCTAGAGCCAGACCAAATCTGTGGAGGCAGACTTTCCTTAAAATAATAATCTGCCCTGGTTATTTGAATTCTAAAGTAATTTATATGTCTGATGATATTTTAACAAGAGAAAAGTTTAGTTTTTGAGATGATTGTTGCTTTTTGTAATAGTTCTCTTGGAGTCAATATTACCTGAGTCGACCATTAGTGTATAAATCCTCTTAAATATAATGGCAAAATGTAGATTTCCACCTAAATAGACATACCCAAAAGTAACTGCTATTCATGTGCAATTACATGATTTTGACATGCCAAAACTTGGTATATTTGGAAAGAAGACATCTGGAAGATTATGAGGAAATTATCAGAAGATAGATAGGAGTTACATAGTTCAGAATACACAAGATCAAGCACACACAAAATAACCGTTAATTGTTTTAATTTTATTTTTGAAAGTAATCTTTCATTGACAAGCTATAATTGAATTATTCATGACTACAGCTGGAAACACATCAGATGGCTTCCACAACATGTGAACAATATCAGAAAAAAATGGGATTGATTGACCTAACAACTAGAAATGGGAAGATGTTTTAGTAAGTGGTGTCTGGTGTGGTCATGGGACGTTTCCAAGTGTCCCTAAACCTCTCCAAAGTGGCATATGTCTGTAAGTTAGATCATTCCAGTGCTATTACATATTTGCAATCCCTAAATGCTATTTGTTCAGTATAAAAACACAATTTCTACCATATCAACCTCACTCAAACATTGTGGTGGTGTTATGGGGTATCCAGGGTACATTCAAGTGTCCTTTCAACCTCTCCAAAGTGTCTGAATGTAGTAATTGCACTGTTTTTGTACACTGGATGTGCCTAAAAGATATTGTTGATCCAGAGCATCCCAAACATGCTCAATGGGTGACATGTCTGGTGAGTATTGGGACATTTTCAGCTTCCAGGAATTGTGTACAACATTATCATGCTGAAACATGAGGTGATGGCGGCGGATGAATGGCACGACAATGGGCCTCAGGATCTCGTCACGATATCTCTGTGCATTCAAATTGCCTTCGATAAAATGCAATTGTGTTCATTGTCCGTAGCTTATGCCTGCCCATACAATAACTCCACCACCACCATGGGGCACTCTGTTCACGATGTTGACATCAGCAAACCGCTCACCCACACAACGCCATACACATGGTCTGTGGTTGAGAAATGAACATTCAATTCTCTGGCAACAGCTCTGGTGGACATTCCTGCAGTCAGCATGCCAATTGCATGCTCCCTCAAAACTTGAGACATCTGTGGCATTTTAGAGTGGCCTTTTATTGTCCCCAGCACAAGGTGCACCTGTGTAATGATCATGCCGTTTAATCAGCTTCTTGATATGCCACACCTTTCAGGTGGATGGATTATCTTGGAAAATAAGACATGCTCACTAACAGGGATATAAACAAATTTGGGCATATGTAAAAGTTCTGGGATCTTTTATTTCAGCTCATGAAACATGGGACCAACACTTTACATGTTGAGTTTATATATTTCTTCAGTGTAAAAGTGACCACAGTTCTAGAGACAACACTGTAGGGGTATTGATAAGAAAACTTCCCCTGTAAATGTGGGTCTGGCTGTGTGGTTGCCAACCACTTTCCCCACAGAGTGCTGCGCCACTTCCAACATCCAGAGGGGAGTTTTGATCCCGGTTTCAGCCGTCCCAACCGCCCAAACTGGGACTTAACGAGCCAATCAGAGAGCTAGGAAGTCCCTAGGTAGGAGCTACCTCTATGCAGAGTGACGCAGATGCACTTCCTGAACGCTCTGGCTGTTTTGTAAAAACATAACGCAGATCCCGTATCAGGTTCTATGGACCCAGCTGGTGGCTTGTTTCGCTACCAGACACACACACACACACACACCCCCCTCTCCTCTGTCCTTGTCCAGATTAACAAACTAATTGGACACAGGTGCGTCGACAAGAAGCCACTGTCTCTCTCTCTCTCTTTCTCGCTCTGTCTCTTCTATTTTATTTCTTCTTCTCTCTATCCCCCAGTCTAGGTCCCTATAGGCTTGTTTAGGAAAACACCTGACCACTTCATCAGAATGAAGTGCTATAAATATCACCAATAAAGTCATCGTCGTCAGTCTGAACACCGTTGGCTGGCAACCAGATGATTGCGTAGCAGCTAGCTAATCAGGGGTAAGGTAAACAGTGTGATGTCACATGAAATTGCTTGTGAGTAGACACGGACATGTACACACAGAAGTAAGAACACATTCAGACACACACACTAAGAAAATAAATTACAGTCTTACGACTCAGGCACACGCACTCTCTCACTTTCTCTTTTTCGTTGTCTTTCCCTCTCTCCCCTCTCTCAAACATCTGCCTTCTCTTTCAAAGACATCATTCCTCCACAGGGGGCCTGACTGAGTGTGTGTGCGTATGTACAGTTGAAGTCGGAGGTTTACATACACTTAGGTTGGAGTCATTACAACTTGTTTTTTAACCACTCCACAAATATCTTGTTAACAAACTATAGTTTTGGCAAGTCGGTTAGGACATCTACTTTGCGCATGACACAAGTAATTTTTCCATCAATTGTTTCCAGACAGATTATTTCACTGTATCACAATTCCAGTGGGTCAGAAGTTTACATACACTAAATTGACTGTGCCTTTAAACAGCTTGGAAAATTCCAGAAAATGATGTCATGGCTTTAGAAGCTTCTGATAGGCTAATTGACATCATTTGAGTCAATTGGAGGTATACCTGTGGATGTATTTCAAGGCCTACCTTCAAACTCAGTGCCTCTTTGCTTGACATCATGGGAATATCAAAAGAAATCAGCCAAGACCTCAGAAAATAAATTGTAGACCTCCACAAGTATGGTTAATCCTTGGGAGCAATTTCCAAACGCCTGAAGGTACCACGTTCATTTGTACAAACAATAGTACGCAAGTATAAACACCATGGGACCACGCAGCCGTCATACCGCTCAGGAAGGAGACGCGTTCTGTCTCCTAGAGATGAACGTACTTTGGTGCGAAAAGTGCAAATCAATCCCAGAACAACAGCAAAGGACCTTGTGAAGATGCTGGAGGAAACAGGTACACAAGTATCTATATCCACAGTAAAACAAGTCATATATCGACATAACCTGAAAGGCCGCTCAGCAAGGAAGAAACTACTGCTCCAAAACCGCCATAAAAAAGCCAGACTATGGTTTGCAACTGCACATGGGGATAAAGATCGTACTTTTTGGAGAAATGTCCTCTGGTCTGATGAAACAGAAATAGAACTGTTTGGCCATAATGACCATCGTTATGTTTGGAGGAAAAAGGGGTTGGTTTGCAAGCCGAAGAACACCATCCCAACCGTAAAGCACGGGAGTGGCAGCATCATGCTGTGGGGGTGCTTTTCTGCAGGAGGGACTGGTGCACTTCACAAAATAGATGGCATCATGAGGAAGGAAAATTATGTGGATATATTGAAGCAACATCTCAAGACATCAGTCAGGAAGTTAAAGCGTGGTCGCAAATGGGTCTTCCAAATGGACAATGACCCCAAGCATACTTCCAAAGTTGTGGCAAAATGGCTTAAGGACAACATTTGTGGGCAGAACTGAAAAAGCGTGTGCGAGCAAGGAGGCCTACAAACCTGACTCAGTTACACCAGCTCTGTCAGGAGGAATGGGCCAAAATTCACCCAACTTATTGTGGGAAACGTGTGGAAGGCTACCCGAAACGTTTGACCCAAGTTAAACAATTTAAAGGCAATGCTACCAAATACTAATTGAGTGTATGTAAACTTCTGACCCACTGGGAATGTGATGAAATAAATAAAAGCTGAAATAAATACATCTCTCTACTATTATTATGACATTTCACATTCTTAAAATAAAGTGGTGATCCTAACTGACAGGGAATTTTTACTAGGATTAAATGTCAGGAATTTTGAAAAACGTAGTTTAAATGCATTTGGCTAAGGTGTATGTAAACTTCTGACTTCAACTGTATGTGTGTGAGCTCTTCACATTACACATCCTGTCTTCCTTACAGATGGCCGCACATACTCTGGCTTTCATCTCCCTCTCCACCAATTGACACAGCTGGAACCCTACTGGGAGAGCACAGAGACGTTTACATCTCCTAGAGCAGTGGTTCCCAACCATTTACTAGAACCCCTTTGAGTACTTGGCCTATTTACAGGGGGTACATACATGGGGAACTTGAGAAGACTCATGAATTCCATAGGCGTACTGGTCAAATGCACATGAAGGGGGTACATCTGGGGTCCTCCGGGCTGAGCAAAATTCAGTTGGTGGTACAGTACCCCAAAAAAGGTTGAGACCACCATCCTAGAGAGGGGGATCATGTCAGGAAGACCTCTGGTCCTGCTGCAGTGCGAGTAGATACACACACGCCATGTACGTAGTCAAACGCATACTGCATGTCCACAATCCTGCTCTTAATGTATACGTGAGCAAAGACAGCAAGATAACAATGGAACAGAACAGCTGAAGGACACACACACGCATACTACACACACACTCAGCAATCAGCACAACCCTGTCATTTCCATGGCTGAGAGACAGCAAGGAAAAGCTGAGCTCAAGTTTTAGAGCCTGTGCAGTGACATCACTATGTGGGTCAAAGGTTAAAATCCAGCATGGTCTCCAGGGGCCAAGACTGATACTATGACCTTTAATCATTCTAGATCATTCCAGGAATACTACCTTTGCTATACTGTATTTACTCATGACTGACCATCTTCGACTGCCTTGGTAATGACAGGTTGAAATGGCAAGACGGTTTGATTATTGATTGCAGCAAGAAAGTGATAGTCTTGTAAAATAATACCCAACAGGATCGATATACTCAAACTGTCAAGGGATGACGTGTCATGAGTGAGGTATGTCTGGACCATTAAGTAAAAGAAGGTCAACTCGCAATGATTTTTGTGAGTATTTCACTTTAAGTGTGTGTGAGAGGAATCGTGTGTGTGTGTCCTTCAATCCAGTGATGTACTTTTTGACCTACATGATCCTTTTTGATCTCTGATTTTTTAAATTCTCCCTCTCCCTCTCCCTCCCTCCCTCTCTGTGGTTTATGCTTGGCCAATCACTCTCAGGTCCTGCACTCTGTCAGCAAACACCCATACTCCCCAACACAAACAGTGGCCTGATTCAGAACACACACACACACACACACACACACACACACACACATCCTCATTATATTCATCATCATAATCCTACCTACGCAAACCCCACCGGGTGCCATATTACCTGACATGCAGCAGAGAAACAAGGGAGGCTGCAAAAAGGTCAAAAGAGAACTAACCTTTATTTTACAGTTCGCTACTGTATTACCTAGGTGGTACTTAGAATGTACGTGGGTATATGTTGTAATAATCATTCAATGACCTACTGTGATAACTACCTTCGGGTTTTCTTGACGATTCATTGAAACAGGCACCACTATATACCATGTGATATCCGGTGGTCATCAATTGTGATGAATTCTTCGAAGTAGGCACGTTAAGTTACCGCTTTTAACCGCATAATGTTTTAGTAAGTACCAGCTGAAATAGGACTGAAAATTAAAACCTTACCCAAGAAGGAAAATAAAAAGAGAAGGTGACTACAAAAAATGAGGAAAGAAAGGCTCCGTCTCACCTCGTAAGCGTTCTTGATATTGAGGGGCTGACCCGTGGCTGCCACGTGACCCACAATTCCCTTGTTCCACTCCAGGCGGATGCAGCTATTAGACACCTCCTCCAGTGTGGAGCCCTCAGCCACGTCAAACAGCCTGCTCACCAGGAACTTCCTGTTGGAGCTGTCCTCGCCCACCTGGGGTCACACAACAAAGAACAGAAGTGATGTCGTACCTATCAAGATTCTACAGGAAGTGTATCTGCTCCACAGTTTACACTACGCCATGATTTGATATACTTTATTGTTAGGTTGCATGGAAATGTCATCATTGCTACCTGATATGGTTGTAGAATTAGATAGATAAGGATTAGACAGGAATTAAAAGATATGAGCAAATAAAATTCATAGAATAAAAAGGAAAGCTACATCTGAGGGTGGTTTTAGCCTTCCAGACTTGGAATTGAATGAACACGCTACCCAAGGCTTTTTTTTATTTTTTATTTATTTTACTAGGCAAGTCAGTTAAGAACAAATTCTTATTTACAATGACGGCCTACACCGGCCAAACCCGGACGACACTGGGCCAATTGTGCGCCGCCCTATGGCACTCCCAATCACGGCCGGTTGTGATACACCCTGGAATCGAACCAGGGGGTCTGTAGTGACGCCTCAAGCACTGAGATGCAGTGCCTTAGACCGCTGCGCCACTCGGGAGCCCAAACTTTTACTTTTCCTTGCAACATATAGTTAAACGCACTAAAAACGAACAATGGGTACATATTGAAGATGCACATGCTCATCCACAGAATCTATTTTCAAAGGATACAGCTAAGAACATTACCAACTTCATAGTTAAGAACACTTTAACAATATGGAAGAAAATGAAACATATTCTACAAGTACCAATATCACTCCCTAAAAACACAACCCTATGGAACAATCCTTGGATAGCTTTTCAGAATTCAAAGATAAGTTGGTCCACATTGAAAACTAAAGGCATGGAAACCGTAAATGACTTGGTAACAGGAAATACACTACATGACCGAAAGTATGTGGACACCTGCTCGTTGAACATCTCAATCCAAAATCATAGGCATTAATATGAAGTTGGTCCCCCCTTTGCTGCTATAACAGCCTCCACTATTCTGGGAAGGCTTTCCACTAGATGTTGGAACATTGCTGCGGGGACTTGCTTCCATTCAGCCACAAGAGCATTAGTGTGGTCAGGCACTGATGTTGGGCGATTAGGCCTGGCTCGCAGTCGGCATTCCAATTAATCCCAAAGGTGTTCAATGGGGTTGAGTTCAGGGCTCTGTGCAGGCTAGTCAAGTTCTTCCACACCGATATTTACAAACCATTTCTGTATGGACCTCACTTAGTGCACGGGGGCATTGTCATGCTGAAACAGGAAAGGGCCTTCCCCAAACTGTTGCCACAAAGTTGGAAGCACAGAATCGTCTAGAATGTCATTGTATGATGTAGTGTTAAGATTTCCCTTCACTGGAACTAAGGGGCCTAGCCCGAACCATGAAAAAGCCCCAGAGCATTATTCCTCCACCTAACTTTACAGTTGGCACTATACATTCGGGCAGGTAGCGTTCTCCTGGCATCCACCAAACCCAGATTCGTCCGGCGGACTGCCAGATGGTGAAGCGTGATTCATCACTCCAGAGAACGCATTTCCACTGCTCCAGAGTCCAATGGCGGCAAGCTTTACACCACTCCAGCTGACACTTGGCATTGCGCATGGTGATCTTAGGCTTGTGTGCGGCTGCTCGGCCATGGAAACCCATTTCATGAAGCTCCCAATGAACAGTTCTTGTGCTGACGTTGCTTCCAGAGGCAGTTTGGAACTCGGTAGTGAGTGTTGCAACCTAGGACAGACGATTGTTACGCACTTCAGGGCTTCAGCACTCGGCGGTCTTGTTCTGTGAGCTTGTGTGGCCTACCACTTCGCGGCTGAGCCATTGTTGCTCCTAGACATTTCCTCTTCACAATAACAGCACTTACAATTGACCGGGGCAGCTCTAGCAGGGCAGAAATTTGACGAACTGACTTGTTGGAAAGGTGGCATCTTATGACGGTGCCACGTTGAAAGTCACTGAGCTCTTCAGTAAGGCCGTTCTACTGCCAATGTTTGTCTATGGAGATTGCATGGCGGTGTGTTCAATTTTATACACCTGTCAGCAATGGGTGTGGCTGAAATAGCCAAATCCACTCATTTGAAGGAGTGTCCACATACTTTTGTATATATAGTGTAAATGTACTTCCATAACAGAATTAAAAAGCTATTTTGGACTGACCCGTGCCCTATCCTACTGTCTCTCATAGGCTAACCTGTGCTCTATCCTACTGTCTCTCATAGGCTAACCTGTGCCCTATCCTACTGTCTCTCATAGGCTAACCTATGCCCTATCCTACTGTCTCTCATAGGCTAACCTGTGCTCTATCCTACTGTCTCTCATAGGCTAACCTGTGACCTATCCTACTGTCTCTCATAGGCTAACCTGTGCCCTATCCTACTGTCTCTCATAGGCTAACCTGTGACCTATCCTACTGTCTCTCATAGGCTAACCTGTGCCCTATCCTACTGTCTCTCATAGGCTAACCTGTGCTTTTTCCTACTTTCTCTCATAGGCTAACCCGTGCCCTATCCTACTTTCTCTCATAGGCTAACCCGTGCCCTATCCTACTGTCTCTCATAGGCTAACCTGTGCCCTATCCTACTGTCTCTCATAGGCTAACCCGTGCCCTATCCTACTTTCTCTCATAGGCTAACCTGTGCCCTATCCTACTGTCTCTCATAGGCTAACCTGTGCTCTATCCTACTTTTTCTCATAGGCTAACCCGTGCCCTATCCTACTTTCTCTCATAGGCTAACCCATGCCCTATCCTACTTTCCCATCGTGCCACTACCTACCAGGAAGAGGGAGTAGCGGTCGGCAGCGATCAGCTCGTTGATGTGCAGGAAGATCTTGTGGCACAGAGCCGTCACGTCCAGGTGACTCGACACATCCCTCACCAGCTCCAACAGCCTGGCACAGCGGTCCAACCCCCGGGCACTGCCCACCTCGTCCATCATACCCGTGGGGATGCCAAACCCGACCCCTCCCTGCTGGGTTCTAAAGGGCATGGGCGTCCGGATGTCGCCTCGGTCGGGTTCGGCGTCGCAGAGGAAGGTTAGTGAGCCTTCCGCGTCCTTGACCACGATGGGCCTCAGCGGCCTGTCAAACTCAGATGCAGAGATCTTGCGGGTGGGGGTGCTGGGAGCGGGGCTGGGGGCCGGGGCTGGGGAGAGAGAGCACGCGTCGTTCAGGCCCAGGGAAGGGGGCAAGGAGAAGGCTAGGCAGGGACTGTCTGAGGGCTGGGTGGGTCTCTGTGGTGTAAGGGTTTCTTTGGAGGATGACGAGGAGGAGGATGATGAGGAGGAGGGCTGGATGGAGTGGACTCGCTCAGCAAACCAGGCATTCACCATCTCCCTGTACCAACACACAGGACATTATACGACATTATAAAACAATAATCAACATCATACAACAGGACAATATGACATTATAGGATATTAGAGGAAAATATAAACTATCTGAGAAATTTGTGTATTTGATAAGCATTACACGTGGAGGTAGTGCGAGGAAGTTCTACCAGCTTTCTCCATCTCCTAATAGACAATAGACAGGACATACAGGACATGCATTACAACACATCATGAGATATGCATTACAAGACTTACAATATATTAATCAACAATGTTAGACATTGTATAAAGGCATTTAAGGAACATTTTAACAACTTTCTACCGCAGTCCCAGGGGCACACGCGTATGCACGCACCACGCACGCACACACACACACACACACGTTCCCCCTCACACAGTGACTCACAGATTAATTCTGGTCAGCAGTACACATTTGTAGAACATGACTTATATGCACAGTGCCAGCATTCAAAAACACTGTTACCCACAAGGTCCTAGGTTCAAATCCCAACCGTTTTATTTTGTCAAAGACTTACTTTGCCTGAACAGCCCTACTGAAACCTTCAGAAACCCCAGCGGCTGTAAAATGCATTTGCCATGAAATGTGCTTGTAGATTAGGCTGACTGCCAGACACATAAAACTGAGCCATAACCACACTATAAAATGGCAAGCCGATGGAAGCGGAATGTTATCTCGCCAAGCATAAGAGACAGCAATGTGTGTGTACGTCTGTGTGTCTGTGTGTGTGTGTGTTTGTGTGTGTGACCCCCTAGTGAGAATCCCCCATAGAGCAGCCCTAATGTGTCCTTAGGACAGGCACACACTCTTAGAGAACTGAGTTTCAGACCTAAACATCCGATCTGATGATATGTGCAAACGCATATATTTTGACTTGCCAATCAAATAATGTTTTCTTACATAATGTGGTTAAGAAGTAGGAAGCAGAAAAATACTGTGGATACACACAAAAAATACATATATCCTGTTACTTCTCTAAGAGAAATATGTCTGACCTTTTCATGGGCCTATGGAAAATGGGATGGTATCAAATGAGATAAGATTATTTGACTGAAATGTAAATTATGCAAACCTGGACAGGCACACACTTATTCTGGCTAGATTTAAATGCAAATAAGTAGCCCTAAGGAAGTCAGAACCTACTTCCCAATTATAAGCTGTCCTAAGTGACACCTGAACTAAGATGGCTCTGTCCTGGATGGCTGTCGTTTAGCGAGCTCCGACCAAACTTTGCTATTTTGTGATTTTTTTGCCGTTTATCTTTACTTTATTTTCACGAAAATGTATCCACTATCATTTCTTATAACCGACAATAACGTCCGATCGGCAGTTACTTACCCAAATTCCGGCTTCAACTTCGACTCATCTGCCCTGGGCTCTTTATGTAATTCTGACCCAATTTACAGGGTATCCAAGACGAAAAAACGGCATTACAGAGGCAGGAGAGGGGGAGTCCTGGCGAGGTTAAGGCGAAGGGAAAACAGGCCACCTCTTCCCTCCATTCTATTGGCCAATCACTTGATAATAAGATGGATGACCTCTGATCGTGGATTTGCTACATATGGGACTCTCATAACTGCAATATTCTCTGCTTTTCTGAAACATGGCTTTCGGACAAGATACCCCTCATGGCTATCCAACTCGATGGATTCTCCTGTCACCGAGCGGACAGGACAGTAGAGTCAGGGAAATAGAGAGAGGGAGGGATTTGCCTCTTCATCAACAACAAATGGTGTGCTGACTCAAGTGCAGTGGAAGTCTCAACCCATTGTGGTGAGGGTAGGCAACATCACCTCCGCCACGCTGATCCTCAACACAGCGGCCCCACAGGGGTGTGTGCTTAGTCCCCTCCTGTACTCCCTGTTCACCCACGACTGCGTGGCCACGCACGACTCCAACACCATCATCAAGACAGGCCGGTGGTAGGCCTGATCACCGGCGACGATGAGACAGCCTACAGGCAGGAGGTCAATGACCTGGCAGTGTGGTGCCGGGACAACAACCTCTCCCTCAACGTCAGTAAGACCAAGGAGCTGATTGTGGACTACAGGAAACGGAGGGGGAGAGCACGCCCCCATCCACATCGACGGGGCTGCAGTGGAGCGGGTCGAGAGCTTCAACTTCCTCTGTGTCCAAATCACTAAGGACTTCAAATGGTCCACTCATACGCGCATGGTCGTGAAGAACGCGCAACACCGCCTTTTCCCCGAGGTTGAAGAAGTTTGGCATGAGCCCTCAAATCCTCAGAAAGTTCTACAGCTGCACCATTGAGAGCATCTTGACTGGCTGCATCACCGCTTGGTATGGCAACAGCACCGCCCTCGATCGCATGGCGCTACAGAGGGTAGTACGGACAGCCCAGTACATCACCGGGGCCGAGCTCCCTACCATCCAGGACCTCTATATCAGGCGGTGTGAAAGGCCCGGAAAATCGTTAAAGACTCCAGCCACCCAAGCCATAAACTGTTCTCTCTGCATCCGCATGGCAAGTGGTACAGGTGCATCAAGTCTGACACCAACAGGCTCCTGAACAGCTTGTATCCCCAAGCCAGACTTCTAAATAGCTAGCAGAATGGCTACACGGACTATCTTAGATTTCCCTTTTTATTTTTGCACTGTCTCTATGCACACTCACAGGACTCTACACACTCACGCACACTGACACTCCAACACACACATAACATGCACAAACATTTATACTGACTCTACACACAAGCACACACACTCGGCGGCAGGTGGCTTAGTGGGTAAGAGCGTTGTGCCAGTAACCGAAAGGTCGCTGGTTCTAATCCCCGAGCCGACTAGGTTGAAAAAATCTGTCGATGTGCCCTTAAGCAAGGCACTTAACCCTAATTGCTCATGTAAGTCGCTCTGGATAAGAGCGTCTGCTAAATGACTAAAAAAAAAAAAAAAAAAAAACATACAATCATCATTTATGCTGCTGCTACTCTGTTTATCATATATCCTGGTGCCTAGTCACCTTACCTCTAAACATATCTACCTCTATCACTCCAGTATCCCTGCACATTGTAAATATGGTATTGGAACAGGCCTGTATATAGCTTCTTACTTTCTTGTGTTCTTCTTATTTCATTTTTTTTTCTTGTGTTTTTGTTCTACCTTATGCTATTTTTTTGTGCTACATTGATAGTGATTACTGCATTTTTGGGTTTGGAGCATGCAAGAAAGGCATTTCACTGTACTTGTGCAAGTGACATTAAAACTCGAAACTTGAAACTAAACTAGGACTGATAGTTGTGATGCCAAGGTACCAGCCTCACTATATGGCCAGAATATGCCCTTAATGATAGTAAGGCTGCTGGCTTGCTACAACTGGCATCTCACCCAGGAATGTATAGTGTGCTCCTGTGAGATCAAATATTGTAAATAATGACTGTTTACTGACTGTATGTCTAAACATGAACTAATTGTCCTTTTAAGGTTCTGATTGCAATCTATGCAAATGTATCCAGCCTATATTGTCTTATCTAAACAGTAACACTACTGCATACTTAGCACTCCAATATTTCAAAACATACCATAACACCTTTATGTTATAATAAAACCGAAATAACTAATCATTTCAATAGTATCTATTCCAGAAGTTGTGTGGTAACACAACAAAACGCATTTAACTTTTAATTCACTGCGCTTTTTGGAACAGAATTGAAAGGAATCACCCGAATAAAGATTAATGATTACACTTATGCTCTCAATTCTCTCGCTAGTTTGGTTAAATGGTTACTGATTGTAGTGCAGATGGTCTGGCCCATTAATAAATGCCAATGAACAGTAGTTGCATGTCGTTTTACGTTCAAACAACGCAGGTAAAATAGATTGCGAGTGCCTTTCTATAAACGGAACACATTAATTATCGGCCAGATTGCTTAAAATAGAATAGACAGCGAGGATGTACCGGAAAATGAGCTATCCCGGTTTCGCAAATTCAATGAATCAGTTACGACTTAAATCTCACCCCGCGCTTACCTTGTAGCCTTCCTGACAAAGTAGGAGTGAGTGAACTCCAAGTGGTCGTCAAGCCACGCTTCCATCCTTTCGTATTCGGGGGGATAGCAGCCCTCCATGCTCAGAGCCAAAATTCCTCCAATTAATCAGATTACCATCAGCACTCCGAAGAAGGAAGCAAATAATTTCAGTCACTGGTAAGCAGTGTGTGTGGTAGTAGTCTAGTTGTCAAGCGAGCGCTCGAGCGCTTCCTACATTGTGAGCGCCTGTGAGTAGACTTCTGCAAGGGTCTCATTGCCTTTGCGCAGCAACATCGCCTCAGCAACATGCCCCCCCTCCAATAACGGATTCTCAATTCCAGAATGGAAAAGCAACGTTTTTTTGTGGTTTGTTTGTATGCTTATTTGACAGAAAAGTACATATTGGCTTACATCAAGGGGCATAAATTACAATAATATTTGATGGCAGATATTTTCACATCAGTGAACTAAGTTAATTAATGGAAGCTGGTAAAATATGCCCTTGATAAGTCAGCTGAACATATTTTAGGCCTAATTGTCAATCAAATAGATTGACATTTTAAAGATGTGATTATTCTCATGAATACATGGAACTATTTAACATACAACATGAGCTATGGCTCCTTCCTTACACTCAAATGACCTTACTTGCCTCAGATGTTTGAGTGGGTGTTGGTGAGGGCTGATACAAGGGCACAACAAGCAATAGCACCTACAAGGAAGCCATTTACAAAGAGGGACTGCTGAGTGTGGATCGACCCACTGGTTCTCCTCAACAACAAAAAATATGTATTTAAAGTTGCTAGCCCATATTGATAAAGATATCCCAGATTGGGAATGCTGATCTAAGATCAGGCCCCTTCCCATCCATATAATACAATGCATTATTACCTATAAAGCTAAACTGATCCTTGATCAGCACTCCTACTCTGATGCTTTATAAATACGAACCACTGAGTGTCAATCAATCAATCACTGAACATACTCCATTGAACTCCCCAGCCCTTTTCGTCCGCCCCCACTGAATTGACAAATAGTAATGGCCTCCACTATATAGTATCCATTGTCACAGACACTTTAGATCCTGTGTGTCTCTGGTGTCCAGCCAGTTGGACCATGCTGATACTGTGGTGTAACCTTACCCAGCAGATGGTGTCTCTTTTACCCCTGGGAGCACAGGACCCACTCCCCAGGCATATGGGAGCTCCCTGGCCTCCTACTAGAGAATCTGGACAGCCCAGCACATTAGGCCTCCAGTCTATCTGATAGGGGGATCTGATAGTGGGACCCTTCCCCATAACTAACACATACATGCCCAGGACACACACACACACACACACACACACACACACACACACGAGCTATGGCTCAATTAACATTAGCATATTTGCACACACACACACACAGGGCCACCCCAGGCTCTCTTCCAGTTGTTCCAACAGTGTGTGTTTCAAAACCAAGCTGGTCTAGACTTGTCAGGTCTCTCTCTAAATCTCACTGTCTGTCATTCTGCTGCAATGTGGTTTCAGAGTATTTCATATGATATGTTATGTTTCGTATGGTATGTATTAATTTGTGGGTGTACATCATCCATTTCATGTGATACGTTACAAATTACAATTCGTATGATATGTTACGAATTGCAATTCGTACAATATGTTACACATTTCCAAAATGTTGAATGTTACAGGAGGGGGTCGCAGTTCCGAAGCGACCCACTAGGTGTCATCCTCCTACAACCTTAGGCACCTCCTCACTCACAGTCGAGACTAATCATCTTCCTATTGGTGTCACCTGTGTCTATCTGATTCACCTGTGTATTTATGCCCTCACTTCCCTGTGTTCCCTTGCTCAGTTTTCTCTGCTAGTTTCACTATGCCAAGCAGTACTAATCAGTGTCTGATCGCGGGACATATGGACAGGTACGTGAGAAGTGTTCTCCCTGTTTATTTATTATTTCAGTCATAGTTAGTATTTCGTATTTTTGGCTGTCTGAATGTTTTTTTGGAGTCTTATTTGCTCCGCCTTTCTTTTTCATGTAAAGTCCGTTATTTTGTATCCTGGCTTCGGGACCATCAGTAAAGTTCCTTGTTTCACCATCTCTGCCTACTGCCTACTCTCTAACCTGCCTCGCACCTGGGTCACACCTCACACCAACCCTTACAGAAAACTGAGCCACTATGGACCCAGCGGAGGCAGCACAGTATCATAGCGCATTGGCATCGCAGGGAGCCATGCTGAACCAGCACGACCGCAGCCTGCAGCAGATCACAGAGAATTTCCGCCAGCTGACGATCGCCTTGCAGAGCCGGTGGACACCCGACCAGCACCGGCAGCCGGCGGAGCGGAAGCCGCGGGAGTGGGGTCTCCAGTCTCACCTGCGACATCACGGGAACCCCGCCTACCACCTCCGGAGAGAACGACGGACATCCAGAGGGCTGCAGGGAATTCCACACCCAGTGTTCCCTGATATTCAGCCTACAACCCTCCTCCTTCCCGACGGAACAGGGCCGGGTGGCCTACATTATCACTCTGTTGACGGGTCTGGCCCTTTCCTGGGCTACTGAGGAGTGGGAGAGCCAAACTCCGTCGCGCTCCGATTCCTACCTATTCACCCGGGAGCTATGCAAGGTGTTCAACACCTCTCGGGTGGTATCGGGGCAAGAGGCCAGGAGGCGATTCACGGCCTGTCGGCAGGGTGACCGTTCAGTGGCAGAATACTCTGTGGAGTTCCGGACCCAGGCTCGAGAGGCAGGATGGGAGGCCGCCCTGGTCATCCTTTACGCTCAGGGGCTATTGGAGGGGATGAAGGACAAACTCTCCTTCAGGTAGCTGCTGAGCGACTGGACGGCCTCGTCGACCTCTCGGTGCGGTTAGACAATCGGTGTCATGAGAGGGCGCAAAAGAGAGGCATGACGCAAGGTGCGCCTCCGCGTCCCCCTTTCAGCCTGGTGGCTTTCTGCCGATTCAGGGAGGAGACGCCTCAGGAGGAGGCTATGCAGCTGGGTGCGGCGCGCTTGTCCAGGATGGAGAGGCAGAGGCGTCTGCACCAGGTACGTTGCCTGTACTGCGGCCAGGCAGGTCACCACTGCAAATCATGCCCGGAGAAGCTGGGAAACGGGAGGGCTCGCTAGTATCGGGAGGGGTGCTAGCGAGCCGGAACCGAAACCCTAACTCCAGAGACTCCTGGACTTTTCTCACCGTCAGGGTTCAGTGGGCCCGCACTGCGCATCGGGCGCATGCACTGGTGGATTCTGGGGCTGCGGGAAACCTGATGGACGCGGGGCTGGCCCAAGGGTGGAGCGTTCCTTTACTCTCCCTCTCCGAGCCGGTTCTGGTCATTGGCCTGGACGGCCGGCCGTTGGGGTCGGGCTTCATCACCAGGCGCACTGTGGAAGACGGCGTTTAACACACCGAGTGGGCATTACGAGTACCAAGTTAAGCCATTTGGTCTAGCCAACGCACCTGCGGTGTTCCAGGAGTTGGTTAATGACGTGCTCCGGGACCTCCTCGACTACAGCGTCTTCATCTATTTGGATGATATCCTCATATTTTCGAAGGACATAAGTGAACACAAGCAGCACATTCGGCAGGTCCTCCAACGCCTTCTCCGTCACCAGCTCTACATCAAGGCGGAGAGGTGTGTTCCATACTGAGACAGTCTCCTTCCTACGGATGGACCCAGCCAAGGTCAGTGCGGTACTGGATTGGCCCCAGCCCTCATCCCTCAAGCAACTACAATGGTTTTTAAGGTTCGCTAATTTTTATAGGCGATTAATTTGCAATTTTAGCTCCCTAGCCGCTCCCCTGACCGCCCTCACCTAGACGAGCGCACGCTCCTTCGCCTGGACTCCGGAAGCGGAGTACGCATCTGATGCGCTGAAGCGGCACTTTACATCGGCCCCGGTCCTCGGGCATCCTGATCCGACCCTGCCGTTCATTGTGGAGGTGGATGCTTCAGACGTTGCGGTGGGAGCAATCCTGTCACAGCGGTTCCTCATGGACGGTAAGACTCACCCCTGCGCGTTTTTCTCCCATCGGCTGTCCCCGGCGAAGCGGAATTACGAGGTGGACAACCGTGAGCTGCTAGCAGTCAAGCTCGCCCTGGGAGAGTGGAGACATTGGCTAGAGGGGGCTGCCCATCCATTTGTCGTATGGACTGACCACAAGAACTTAGCCTACATTCAGGGGGCCAAGAGGCTCAACTCATGCCAGGCCAGGTGGGCGTTGTTCTTCACCAGGTTCCGGTTCACCATCTCATACCGTCCGGGGTCGAAGAACACCAAGCCTGACGCGCTCTCCCTGCAGTTCAACCCCGTGGACCTGGTGGAGAGGGACGACCCCATTGTCCCCAACGCCCTGATTGCTGCCCCAGTTTTGTGGGGAATCGATAGGCTGTTCAGAGCAGCCATACGGCGGGAGTCAGATCCGGGCAGAGGTCCATCAGGGAGGATGTACGTACCCAAGGCTGCGCGCTCGCGACTGCTTCAGTGGGCGCAGGATGTTGGAGTTCCTGCGTAGGAGGTTCTGGTGGCCATCTGCTGAGGGGGATACGTGTGCCTTCATGGCTGCTTGCCCGGTGTGCGCATGCACAAAGAGCTCACGTCAGCCCGCGGCAGGGTGCTCCGACCCCTGCCTATCCCCAATTGCCCCTCGTCCCACATCTTGTTGGATTTAATTTCCTCCCTACCCCCCCTCTGAAGGATACACAGTCATCCTGGTCATTGGTTCTCGAAGGCTGCCCACTTCATTCCCTTTCCCAAACTCCTGTCGGCCTGGGAGACGGCCAAGTTGGTGGTGCAGCACGTTTTCCCGGGTCCATGGCCTTCCCCAAGATGTGGTGTTGGATCGGGGCCCTCAGTTTGCCTCCAGGTTCTGGAAGGCGTTTACCACCTGCCTCGGCGCCTCCGTCAGCTTGTCTTCTGGCTTCCATCCCCAGTCGAACGGGCAGACGGAGTGCGTCAACCAGGATCTGGAGGGGGTGCTGAGGTGCTATGCCTCCAGCAACCCAGCTACGTGGAGTCAGTGTCCCTGGTTCGTCGGGCCATTCAGGCTGTTCCGGCGAGTCAACCCAGTGGCCTACCGCCTGCAACCTCCCC